CCTGGCGTGAGATAGGCAGGCGTCCCGCCGATACCTTCGGGTTCGCCCATGGGAGAAGTGGGGGCGTCACAATAACAGTTTTTTCAACAAATATTAAGTGAAGACATAAACCAAAAAGAAAAAAACTATGTTTGTGTAACTTTTCAACAGAGAAAGGGCATAGGACTTACTAGTAAAACTTTGCATCAATACTTGTCATTTATAATTTGCATAACATTGTTATATGAAACATATGTCTTATTGGCATTGCGATGTAGAATAGCTTTGAATATCAAGCCAAAGGACAAAAATCTGAAAACGTGTGTTTTTCTTCACTACAATAATTTGTTTGATGCCCACGGCCCACAGACTCACTCAATCAATCAAATCCTCACCTAAAAGAGAGAGAAACCATTCTCCAAACACTGCCTCAAAATTCTCACACTAACTCCACCTGCTGTGTGTAAATTTCAGCCATTTCTGAGATTTTATGAAAAAATTTAGACAATCTTCTTTAGTTCATCACAGTTTTTGTTGCAATTATTCGCACGAGAATTTTGATAAATCTTCAGTAGAAGAATACCCACCGGAGCATGCCAACTTCAACCGCCACCTCATAATCATCGGAGAATCAGAGCCGTCCAGTCCCCAAGGACCTCGTCGGACGGCTGACCTCGTCTGTGGCTTCATATGAGATTAAGCTTATAGCCCTTCGAGACCTGAAGAGTCAGATCATTAGAAACCGAACAAAGAAGCTTTCTTTTCTTCACTACAATTTGTTTCATTGGCATTGTGCAAATCTGCATTTGTGTTTTTCTTAAACTTTTTTCATGTTGTTTCATGTTTTATTTTCCATTTTAAGTGGTCAAGTGCTCGAACTGCTCAAAATGATGATTCAGAGAAACTAGATAACTTTTATTGTTGGGCAATTTGTATGCCTTGTCATTCAACTGATGTAGTACTGCAGGTATTCGTTCTTCTAGAGCAGATTTCCTAAGAAGATGAGTCTATTTCTTCTTATTACACTAGAAAATGGTGAGACTGAAGCATTCCTGTCTCTTCCTGATTTGGTGTGATCATTCCACTCATCAGGTTGGATATAATTGTATTTGTGTATTAAATCTTTTCAATAATAGATAATCACTCATGTCTTTCTGTAACTGTACATACATTGAATCAATTTGATTATTTAATAATTCATGTTTATTGAAGCAATTTCTGGAGCTTCCAGATTATTTGGTTTGAACTTGATGAAGCTGTATTACTCTGTCATTGCACAGACATACTTTGTCATTGCACGGATAAGCATAGTGTGACGCCCTCACTTCTCCCCAAAGCGAACCAAAGGGTATCCGCGGGACGCCTGCCCAACTCTCGTCAGGACTCAAGACAATTCGATTCAAACTTAACGATACATAACAATTAATACAAGTCTAATAAAGAAAAGTCGCTTCCATAACCGAATATCCAAATCTTACACCACAAGTTCGAAGTACATCAATTTTCCAAATCTTACATCAGGTTTTCAAAAGATACATCGAGTTCCAAAATACAACCATTAAAGTCGACTAAATATTTACAACCAAGATTTCCAATCAAAACATAACCTAGTCGGCTTTTCATAATCTTCTAATCCACCTGTTAAGAAAAACAAACTAATGGAATGAGCCAATACGCAGTGAGGCCAAGAAACACACATGCAAGCATGTTGTCCAAGTAACAATCTCATTTAACAAGTAAAATAGTAATATTCAAGTAAATAACAATTCGGGCGAGAAAAATAATCAAAAACAATTCAAGGATATAAGAGCTCTCAGGAGCTATTTTTCACTTGCACGATCAAGAACCTCCACGAGTTGACACTCCGTCAATCGGGTAGGTTATAATCCATAGAACTTCACTTACTCGTTCCCCGATCACCATTACATACCCCTGTACTGGGCTCGCTTGTCTTTTATATGAGGCGATACTACTCGAGTATGCCAAGCAAGATCTCCTATTAGATCAAACTTATACACGTTTCTCATGGCTCACCAAGCTTCTCGACCGTGCCCATGCCGGCTCGAGTCGCAAGGTCGACCGATGAGATTTGGGCGTCCCCCACTAGTATCACTAGGAGTCGAGGAGTTTCACTCCAATCGACTTATACAGCCATAGCATAATTAATCATTGAAACAATTCACTTAATTCACTTAACAAGTCAATTCAAGCAATTCATTTCAAGTAATTCAACTACACTTCACGTAAATATTCACTTCAAGTATTTCATGTCAAGTAATTCAAGTACACTTCACTTAAATGAGAACGAGTGTGGTAAAATACACACTCGACTCAATATTTTCAAAATACTCAATTATCAATAACAATTAAACATGTAACACGTTTTTACACACGTTTTTACACACTTGACACTCACCTAGTGACACTCACCTAGACAAAAGGAGAGTGTATTGCACAAATCAAGTACTTAAACGTCCCCTGTGAGATCCTCTTGAAGGTCCCCTTGAACGCCTGAGCAAATAACAGTTAACTATCACTTATAAATCCTTTCTTATCAAGAGAGAGAGATTGTACACTTGTACAATCTAGGAAAATATTACGAAATAGAGCTTTACTTGCTCAATATTCAAGGTTCGAAAGTGGTGTTTAACAACACAAGGATAAACTGATTTCCTTCATGAAGACAAGTCCAAAATGGTCAATTAGTATTGAAGTATAGGGAAGAGTCTCCAAAAACTCAATTCCCGTCAAGTTTCAAAAATTTCAGATTTGAGGTGCATTCTTTGAAAAATCATATCTCACTCTTCGTAGGTCCAAAATTGGAAAACTTAGTACTGTTGGAAACTACTTCCAAAGTACTAAAAATTCCTAGAAGGCACTTTTCCATGATTCAAAACGGAAGACACTCAAATTGGTTTCAAGTTGCTGATTTGGACTCCCAAGACAGATTCGGGGTTGGTTTTTGGCAAACTTTGGAAATTCGAAAAAATTCACAGAATGCGAACTAGCCTCTCAAATTTGAAATTCAATTAGAGTTAAAATCAACGTTTAAAACACAATAAACGGAACACAAATCGGAGTTTTGAGCGCCAAGATATAGCAGCTCAAAGTTGGTTCAAAATGACGACCATTGGGCAATTTTCTAGATTTGAAACACAAATTTTGGGACTTCAGTTGGGCATCGAAATAGACTTGAAATGGCACCAAATTTGGTATGATTATACTACCATATAAGGGATACTCCTCTGTCAAATTTTATGAAAAAATTCGTACGGGAAGTCAGTTAACAAGACCACTAAAGTTCCAAGAATATCCAAGGCAATTCTGCCTTATGCTTCCGTTTTCCTTTTTTCGAACCTTTGACCAATGAACTCATCTCAAACACGATTCATTTATGAAGGAAAGGTCTAAGAAACTTTTAACATACATTTGGCAGGTGATTAACACCAAAAGTTTCAAAATAACAAGTCCCAATTCGAGCTAAGCCATCGGCTAGCCAAAACTAGGGTTTTCAATCACTGATGCAGTTCTGTAATTTAGCCACAACTCACTCAATTCAACTTGGAATTAAGCATGGTTGGTGGCGTTGGAAAAAAAATTCATGGGGATATAATTCATCAGAAGAAATCGTTTTGAAATTCAGTCCATAGCTAGCTCAAATTCAAGCAACAAGTCCCAGCACCTCATTAACTCTCTAGCACAGTAGTGAAACAAGACAGGTAACTTTGAAGAGCTAGTACCGTTCACTCAAGTTGAATCAGGGGACACATTTTATACTGTTAGAAAACTGAAAGTGTCTAGTTTCAAATGCCACAAACGGCACTTGATTTTGAATTTGGAGCAAAGAGTTATGATCGTTTAAAGTTCGCTGCCAGAGTACCTCTCTACACGTTTTCCAGATTCGAACATGTTTCGAAAATGCAACTTTTACCCAACCAAATCAAGTGATTTTTGGTGAAAAATTTCCACACAACCAATAAAACATATCTACATCAAAATCAAGGCAATTTGATCACAAAAAAATCAAACCAAGGCCTCTGCACAAACAGGGCAGAATCGGCCCTTCTTAGCTTTCAACTTTCCTTTGATTTTCTTTCCACTTTTTCAACTTATATCCACTAGTTTAACAATTAATCAACATAAATAACATCCAAAATCATCATATCAGTCCAACATGTCCATTGTGGAATTTCATAGAACCTACTCATATGATTTTAACCAACCAAAGTTACCCACATGAAGCTACAAGCTTCCAAGTCCAATCTAACTCACAAAAATCAAGTTTCAAAGGTTGGATGATTTACTACCTCTTGGGTGTTGAAACTCAGAAGTTTCAGTCACCTAGAAGCTCCAAGAAACCGTGGAAATGATGCTCTTTTCCTAGCCCAAGTGAAGCTCCAAGTTGTTTTGAGTTTGTGTGACAAATTTGGAGTGAAATGGTGCAAGAAAATGAAGTGAGATGATGAAGGTTTTTAGTCTTTTTCCTCCTCCAAGTTTCGGCCAGCAAGAGAGAATGAGAGAGAGTGAAAATCTGATATGGGAAGCTTGGTGGTTGGTGGCCTTTTTGGGCACAAAAGTCAACTCTTACTAGTGCGCGTACGCGCGCGTTTCGTGCCCGTTTCCTCTCGGGTTTGTTTCACTTGTGCACTAAACCTCTAATGCACTTCATTTAACACCATTATTATCCACTCTTAGTAGTCTAACAATAATTTCTAAAATCCTCCAATTAGTCGCGCGCGCGAAAACACTAATTTCCGACTTGTGCGCGATAAAGCGAAATTTCTAAGAAAATTCTTATAACGATAGTATAACTAATTAATACTTGAGTACTTAATCATAAAAATAACCATTTTAGGGTAAACCAATAAATAAGTGAATAAATCGACAAAATAAATAAATAAATAAATATAAAATTTACGAATTTTCACATCCTCTTCCCCTTAAGAGAATTTCGTCCTTGAAATTATACCTTGATTTGTGAATAGGTATGGGTATTTTCCTCGATTCGCTTCTTCAACTTCTCAGGTTGCTTCCTCTTGTCCATGGTTCCTCCAAAGAACTTTCATCAACGGAATCCGCTTGTTCCTCAGTTCTTTCACCTTAAGATCTAGAAGCTTTACCAGTTTCTCCTCATAGGTCAGCGCCTCATCAATTTCAATATTTTCCGATTGCAAGATATGAGGAGGGTCTGGGTGATATTTCTTAAGCATGGATACATGAAAAACGTTGTGGATCCGAGACAAACTCGGTGGTAGTTCCAACTTATACACTACATTTCCCACGTGTTGGGTAACCTTATAAGGTCCTACAAATTTCCGTTGTAACTTCTTTCCCCTTTCGGCCATCAAACTTGCTTTCAGAGAGGTAATCTTAAGAAATACTTGATCTCCAACTGCAAATTCCAAGTCCTTCCTACGATTATTTGCGTAACTCTTCTGACGACTTTGTGTGGTCTGAATCCTTTGGCGTACCAACTTCATTTTTTCATTTGCCTCCTCAATCCAAGGTACTGTAGTCGGGTCTAAAATTTTTTGTTCACCTATTTTATCCCAACAAATCAGAGATCTACACTTCCGACCCTAAAGTGCTTCATACAGAACCATTTGAATCGAAGAATGGAAGTTATTGTTATAGGCAAATTCCACCAATGTCAAAAACTTACTCCAACTCTCTCCAAAATCCAAAACACAAGTTCTCAACATGTCCTCGAAAGTTTGAATCGTTCTCTCAGACTGTCCATCTGTCTAGAGATGGTAAGTAGTACTAAAACTCAATTTAGTTCCCAACACTTCTTGCATCTTTTGCCAAAATCTCGAAACAAACCTAGGGTTTCTATCGGACACAATGCTTACAGGTATCCCTTGTAACCTGATAATCTCATCCAAGTATAACTTAGCTAACTTCTTCAATGGGTATTTCATACTAATTGGCAGAAAATGTGCCGATTTGGTCAATCTATCCACTATTACCCAAATGACATCATGACTTCTTTGTGTCCTAAGTAACCCTGATGCAAAATTCATGGTGATGCCTTCCCATTTCCACTCGAGTATTTCTAAAGGTTGCAAAAGTCCTGATGGTTTCTGATGTTTAGCTTTAACTTGTTGACAAATCAAATAGGTCTGGACAAATTGAGCAATCTCCTTTTTCATGCTCTCTCACCAATACAAACTCTTCAAATTTTGGTACATTTTATTCCCTCCAAGGTGTACAGTAAACTTCGATCGGTGTGGCTTTTCCAAAATTTCCTTCTTAAGTCCTTCATCCTTTGGCACTACGATCCAATTCCGAAACCTCAATACACCATTTATTTCCAAGTTAAAATCTGACTTCTCTCCCTTTTTGACTTTTTCCAACCACTTTTGCACTTCATGGTCCTTTTTCTGGGCTTCTTTGATACGTTCCAATAAAGCAGAATTCACTACAATATTTTCAAGAATTACTTTCCTCGGTTCAAGTCTAGGGTTCCATATACTAACCTCCTCCAACAGGTGCATTTCTTTAATTATAAATCCTGCCACTTATACCTGCCACTTAAAGCATCGGCCATTACATTGGCCTTCCCTGGATGGTACTTTATCGTGCAATCATAGTCTTTCAAAAAATTCCATCCACCTACGTTGTCTCAAATTTAGCTCCTTTTGAGAAAATAAATACTTAAGGCTCTTGTGGTCAGTAAAAACCTCAAATGTTACTCCATAAAGGTAATGTCTCCATTTCTTTAAAGCAAACACTACAGCTGCTAATTCCAAATCATGAGTTGGATAATTTCCTTCATGCGATTTTAATTCCTAGAGGCATACGCTATCACTTTCTCATTTTGCATTAATACACATCCCAAACCTTCCTTGGAAGCATCTGTGTAGACCACAAAGCTATCTTTTTCATTCGGTAGAGCTAATACGGGTGCCCTTGTCAAGCGTCTTTTCAACTCTTGAAAAATCTCTTCACACTTAGGACTCCATATAAACTTTCCACTCTTCTTGGTTAACTCAGTCACGGGTCCAGAAATTTTAGAGAAATCCTTGATAAATCTCCGGTAATACCCTGCTAACCCTATAAAATTTTGAATTTCAGTAGGGTTTTCTAGTTGTTTTCACTTTGAAACAGCTTCAATTTTGGCTGGATCCACTTTAATCCCGTCCTTAGAAATTATGTGCCCTAAGAATGTCATTTCTTTCAACCAAAATTCACATTTGCTAATCTGTAAAATAATTCTCAAGTGCTTCTCGTGATCCTCCGCAGTCTTAGAGTACATCAATATATCATCAATAAATACAACCACAAATTGGTCCAGATAAGGCTTAAAGACCCTGTGCTTCAAATCCATAAAAACAGCAGTTGCATTGGTCAATTCAAATGGCATTACTGCAAATTCAAAGTGTCCATACCTCGAGTTAAAAGCAGTTTTGGGTATATCCTTCTCCAAGATCCTCAATTGATAGTAACTCTGTCTCAAATCCAACTTCTTGAATACTACCGCCCCTTGCAATTGGTCAAACAATTCATCAATATGGAGTAACGGGTACTTATTCTTAATAGTAACATCATTTAGACCTCGGTAATCTATACACAGTCTTAAACTCCTATTCTTTTTCTTAACAAACAAGACCGGGGCTCCCCACAGTGAATCACTCTCCTTTATAAAACCCCGCTCTAGTAAATCCTGTAATTGCAATTTCAATTTTTTCAATTCAGTTGGAGCTATTCTATATGGCGTCGTAGAGATAGGTGCTACTCCCGGAGTTACATCAATCTTAAAACCTATTTCCTTTTTCGGGGGTAAAGACTCTAACTCTTCGGGAAAAACATCTGGATACTCTTTCACTACAGGCATGTCTTCTAATCTCATTTTACCTCTAGGAGTATTAATAAGAAAAACCAAATATCCCCGAGCTCCCTTACTTAGCATTTTTCTAGTTCGGATCCCTGAAATAAGTGCAGATGAAGCTAATCTACCCCTTACATCCAGTTTCAGGGTTGTTTCTCCCGGAATGCACAATTTTACTATTTTTGTCTTACAGTTCAACTGGGCATTGTAACGGGCTAACCAGTCCATTCCTAGAATCACATCGTATCCCTTAATCGCTAAACCTATCAGATCGACTAGTAATTTCCGTTCTCCAACTCAGATCTCACAATCCTTATATACCAAGTTAGCGATTAGACTTTGGTCCCCAATAGGTGTCCTAACCTCCAACTCATAAGGTAATTTAATTGGTTTCAAATCTATCCCACTCATGAAATTAGGGTTTACAAAGGAATGTGTCGCGCCCGGATCAATTAAAACCTTAGCTAAACGGTGAAAAATAGGGATCGTACCTTCAACCACCTCAGTCGCATCGGGAATCTGTTGGTAATCCAAGGCGTAAACCCTAACAGGTATCTTTGGTCGACTCCCTCTAGCACTAATCTGCCTAGAGGTTGACTTTTCTAACCTTTGGGTGCTACCTCCTATTTTCGGCGCTTTCGGACAACCCGCGAGTTGATGTTCAGCACTACCACAGAACAAACATTTCCCAAACTTTCTCCAACAATCATTTTCTGAGTGGTTGGGTTTACCACAGTAACCATAAATAACATGAGGTGTCACGTCGAACCACTAGAAGGCACTCCTCTCGCTTGAACCGGCCCACTACGACCTCCTCTGGATAAAGCTTCCCTTGAATCTCCTGCGGTCCTCACTCCTCCCATTCCTCTTCCCATCTTGGAAGGTTGTGTACTCTTACTAGCCTGTCCAGAAGTGTGACTAGAAAAATTCATTTTCTTATTGTGGAAGTCCCTAACTTGCATTCTTGCACTCTCGACCCTTTGTGCTTTCTCTAGAGCCTCAATAAATGTAGAGATTTGGGCCGCAGCCAAACCCTTCTGGATTTCTACATTAAACCCTTGTACAAATCGTCTTATCCTTTTCCGCTCGTTGATCACCAATTCAGGAGCGTACTTAGAAAGCTTAGTAAACTTCCCTTCATACTCAGCTACACTAAGAGTTCCTTGTTTCAACTTGATGAACTCATCTTCCCTCTTCTTTTGGATTAAAGGCGGAAGAAACTTCTTATTAAACTCCCTCGTGAAATTCTCCCAAGTCCAAGGGGTTTGGGCTGTCTCCCACTTTCCTTTTATCACGTCCCACCAGGCACGTGTTACTCCCTCAAATTGGAAAGCAGCAAAATTCACTCGCCTATCTTTAGTGTAGTCTAAAGCGGCAAATATGTTGGTCATCCTCTCTAACTAATTCTCCGCTACCTCAGGATCAGGTTCACCAGTGAATTTAGGTGGGTTAAATTTTAGGAACCTCTCCAAAACCCTATCTTCCCCTCTATCCTGACCTCGAGGTTGGTTAAGTGGTCCTGGACCCTGTTTCTCAGCTAACCGTTCAAGGATATCAGTCATCCTATTAATGGTAGTACCCACTTGGTTACCCTCTATATTTTCTTGTCCCTGAGTCGGTCCAGTTGCCGATCCCTGGTCATCTCCTTGAGGTTGAGCTTATCTAGTCCCTCGCCCACGACCTCGACCACTCATTCGTCCGTCCATAATTCTAATGGTGCCTAGTGCAAAAATAAAAGTGATTACGCAAGGAAATACTCAAAACAAGAGCCAATCAAGAAACATTGGAAATAACAATAATTTACATCCATTAACACTTCAAAATTCATACAATTATCAAGTCATGGGGGAATTACAAAATATAGCACACAGGTGCCACAAAAGTACTTTTAGTCATACACGACTAAAGTATAGTCAAGTGCCTCAAAAGTAGGCCACACAGTCATACAAAAATACAATGGCCTTGGCACTAGCATCATCCCAACTAATTCTAACTATATCAGTCAAAAGGGTCTATCACTTTGGATCTAGTCTACAGTAGGGTTACTAGGTAGAATCTCCTCCTTAGGATCCTCCTCCTGAGCTGGACTCTGGATAATATCCATCACCTCATCAACCAACCTACCAGTATCTGCTAGGATCTCGGACCTCCTCACCTAACCTAGTAAGTCGAGCCCTTGTTCTCTGAAACTCATCGCGAGTGACCTCAGCCGTGGCCACCTCGCCTACCAATACCTCCTCAAGCTCGGCAATCCTCTCACCCTGAGCACTCACCATCTGGCTCAGCTCCTCCACCTCCTGGAGGATATCTCGATTGGTGTTCATCAACTGACGACGCTCGTCGTCGAGAGCTAGTATAAGGTGGTTTGGGTATACATATGTCAACCTACACGGACAACGAGGATACCTAGTAGTGGGCGAGTAGCGCACACGAGCTCCTCCACCAAGAGTTCGGTAGTAAAATAGACCTAGGAGGCTCTACATGGCCATTTGCGTGACCATTCCATTAGCAGCA